TATGGTTTTTGGTGATGTTGCGTGACAAGTGTCTGCGTCCACGATTCTCAGAGGAGCTGACGTGGCAATCCTTGATATGTCATGCTCAATCCACATCCTGTCAGTTTCAGCACTGCCATTTCTCCTCGTCAGCGCCGTAACACATGTTACGTGAGTCTACCGTGATCCTCCATCGCCTAACTGACAAAGTTATCCAAGGAACCAGGCCTCGTTCATTCTCGCGAGACTTCGCTTGAAGGAATTCCCAAGGCTCAGCCATTCCCTGACCTCTGAACCATTCCAGACCTCCTGGCCATGTTTCCAAGCCCAACCTGTTCGTTCCACTCACTCTCCCAACCTGTTCACCCTCCCCCTCTTCGTCTTTCCCCTCGGCCTTCTAGCCATTTCTCCCCCTCACATGCCTTTCTAGGGTTTCCCAAAGCCCTTCATTTTACTCCTGGGCTCTGCCATCATTGCCTTGGTTATCCATCGGGCTTAGGGAGAGTAGGAGGAACAACATAGTTGTCCGTGTTTCCGCGTAGGCTCTCGCTTTGCGTCGCTCCTTGGATTCAAACGAGACGATGGCCCACGCCATGGCTTCCGTGTCGGGAGCAGCTCTCTCCTTCGAGAAGCTCTCTCTCTCCACCGCCTCCTCCCTCTCCATGTCTCGCTCCTCCTTCGTCTCCTCTCCCGCTCTCGTCGCCTGCCGGCCAGTCGCTCTCTCCGCGAAATGCGGCCCGTCGTTCGCGGTGGTGTCGGCGCAGGCTGTAGCGGATGTCGCGGCGCCTGCTGCGGAGTCGTCACGGCCGACCGGGCTTTTGTCCGGTTCGGACCCCGCCTGGAAGCTGGGGACAGCGGATAAGGCGCGTCTTAAGACGTACTATGAGTCCGCCGTGGTTCCCGCTATGCTCGCAGAGTTCGGATATGCGAACCCCCAGGAGGTGCCACGTGTCGAGAAGGTGGTGGTCAACTGCGGCATTGGCGACGCGTCGCAGAGCGCTAAGGTGCGTCGCAGAGCGGGAATTTGCGTCGCGAGTCGAATGTGCGTGGCACGAAGGCGCTCTTATTTAGTGATCCAACGACTAGAGATCCAAAGACGGTACCTCTTGGTGATAGAGGGATAGCGCGATTGCGAATCTAAAATTTGGAGCTCCCAGAATAGAGATGACTGGCATTGCGTGTAAAAGCGGTTGCACATTCTGGCGATGGTTCGAATGGGCTGTTTAGGCCTAGTTAGGCTTAGAATGATGAGCCTAGCGCGGACGAGGCGGAGTGTGGTGTCTGTTGTAGCTTTTGGTCGGAGTCGCCTGGGGTCGTTAGACACAGTGGAGCGTTGCATCGCGCCATCGCAGTAGTCGCACAGGCGTCGCACAGCAGCGGTTTCCGATACCAATATTCCCGACGTACGTGTCGCATCACCATCGCAAGCTCTGCCACTTTGTAGCTCAAGAGGCGTCTTTCAGGATACGGCAGAGTAGGGCGGAAACGCAGGGAGAGCAAGGGAGAAGGCGAAGCAGAGGGATCACTTAGACTCGATTGCTAATGTAATCTCATAGAACTTAAGTGCGTTGCTGATTGGTCGTCGTCGTTGCCAGAAGCCGCTGCAGCTGCTATCGTTTTCGGCGATGGAAGATGGAGAGTAGAGTGTGTTTCGAGTCATTTTCGTCAGGGCTATGGGACATCCGACTCACGACTCGCCTTGGACACGATAAGGCTACAGCTGAAGCTGCCCGTTGCCCATGATAAACTGCCGCGCCCGACGATTTTTAAGGTGCCTCAAAAGCCGTCGTTCATGGGAGACGACCCCGCCGGTCGCGCAGCCTTGGCCGAGCCAGCGACTCATAACGCGATGACTCTTGAGTCGACGCGACAGACGCTTGAGATGAATTTGCCCGCCCCCCCCTCGCGTGCCAGCGGCATCCGTCCTCGCAGCCAGCCAGAACTCAGCTAGCGTCGCAAACACAGCGCCGTGGTTCGCCGGGAAGCGTGGCTCGAGTTTCTCCTCCCTCCCCCCCGTTCCTCCCCAACCCGTGGCCTCTTCCCCCCATCCCCGCGCAGACCCTCCACAGCGCAGCCAAGGATCTAGCGGCAGTGACGGGGCACCGAAGCTATCGTCTCGCCGTCTTTCCCCCTCCATTTCCTCTTCCCCCCCACTCCCGCCCTCCTTCTCCCCTCCCCCCATTCGCAGACCCTCGACAGCGCCGCGAAGGACTTGGCGGCGGTGACGGGGCAGCGGCCCGTCGTGACGCGCGCGCGGAAGGCTATTGCGGGGTTCAAGCTGCGCGCGGGCGTGCCCGTGGGAATGGCGACCACGCTCCGCGGACAGGTAAGACGCGGGAAAGGGGGCCGGAGAGATGGAGAGTGCGGGGGACTTGCGGGATCTAATCTGCTCGCGCGGGTTGCCCGTGGGGATGGGTTACCACTCCCGCGGGCAGGTGGGGAAGGGCAAGGGGAGCGGGTGGAGAGGGGTGGAATTGGGCGTTGCTTGAACGGATGTGAAGAGAAGGACAGGAGAGAAGGGACATACTGATAAAGGGATGAGGAAGAGTGAATGGAGGAGGGACGATGAACTGGTGAAAGGGAGGGAGGATGGAAACGGGAGGTGACAGGGGAGAAAGGAAGGCACGAGGGGGGGTACAGGTGGCGTGAATATTGTTGAGAGGTGGAGTGACTGTGGCGATGGGAGGGAAGCAGCGACAGGGGAATCTGAGTGGTAAAATTTAAGGTGCCCCCTCTTCCTCCTCCCCTTCCCGCTCATCCCACCACCTCCTCCTTCCCCTTCCCCTCTGCCTGCTCCTCCTCGCCCTCCTCTCCCTCTTTCATTACAGTAAGTTTTTACTGATTCAGACGAACAGAAAAACAGCCCAGTAAATCTTTTATTATTAGAAAACATAAAGACAATTTGTGAAGAAATCATTGTCAACCTCGCCACTCTCCACCCCCTGCCCCGACCCTCGCACCCCCCTCTCGCTCTGGACTGTCTCATCAACCCCGCTCTCTCCCTCTAGCAAAACTTTCATGTCCCCTCAGAATCTACCTTGGCGCTCTAGGTTGCTGGATAGCCCTTCCTCCCTCCCTCACCCCCCACTCCCCCTTCCTCCCCCACCCCCCCTCCCTTTCTCAAATCATGTGTGCCTATCTCGATGGTCTCATCAAACTCGCTCTCCCCTCCAACATGACTTTAACGTCAACTTGGAATCTGCCGAGGCGGTCCTGGTTAGATACTGAATAACCCGTCTTCCTCCCCTCTCCCTCTCCCCCCCATCTCAGATCATGTACGCCTATCTCGATCGCCTCATCAACCTCGCTCTTCCCCGCATGCGCGATTTCCGCGGCGTTTCCCGCGGGGGCTTCGACGGCCGCGGCAACTACTCCATGGGCCTGGCCGAGCAGACGCTCTACCCGGAAATCCGGTTCGACGAGATTGACAAGACCCGTGGGATGGACATTTCCATTGTCACCACGGCTAAGACTGATGGGGAGGCACAGCGGCTGCTGGAGCTGCTGGGAGTGCCGTTTAGGGAGGGCCCGGTCCCGGTTAAGGAGGCGAAGAGCAAGGGGAAGGGGCGGGGGCGTGGGCGCGGGGGTAAGCAGCAGCAGAAGAGCAAGAAGAGGTAGAGGGGTGTGGAGTGCGTTTGGTTGTGGTTGGAGGAATGTTTTTGCCTGATTTTGAAGTTGATTTAGGTTAGAAGTCTACGTATGTGTGTTCTCGATGGAAGCTGTAGCAGCATGTCAGCTGTACACGTACATTAATTTCAATGGGGCCTACCAAGTAAGCACAGCAACTGATCATCAGTAAGCATATCAAGGCTGTAATTTATATCCATCTGGTACAATTATTATAAGAATCAGAGGGTTATGAGTTCATACAGTTATGAGATGTCACGAACCTTCACCGAATTCTTCGTTAAAGCGTATTCTTTTCGCGTGCCACTGTCAGCCACTCCTTTGTCGCAAAACAGTCGCCCAAGCGGCAAATGCTTCCTAAGGACACCGAAAACACCGCAGAGAAACAGTTGCTGAATCTCGGGCCCCAAGCACACAACACCACGCTGTATTGTACAGAAACGCAAAGGACATCGAACCCGTATGAACCGTTGGATTTCCCTGACAAAATGTTTACCATACGCGCCCTGACAAGACTGGTCTGCGGCAACCTGCTGTAACAGCAGGGGTGCATGCATCCAGTAACACCCGTCGCCGCCATACCCATCAATCAAGAGCCATCAAACAAGAACCATACCCGCCCACGTGTCAGCCAATTTCCCCAAGCTATTAGGTGCTGTAGGCCGAGCGTGGCTCCTGAGTCCCTAGTTCCGAAGCCAGATTCTGAAGCCTCGTGTTTGTTTGCGTGTCTGGTTTCTAAGGGCTGGTATCTTGCTACGAAAGCGTTACAAAACGGTGGTAGGAAACCGCCGGTCAGACACGTGGCCGCACATTCCTGCTTGCGTAGCCACAGTCGCCACGCGAAGTTTGGCGAACACGCTACGTCGCTCATGACCTCCGCCTTGTTACATCAGTAACTTTTGAGTCGACTCAGTAGTCACCTCGGCTGCCGCACACGTTTCTCGGTTGCTCCGATACCCCGCCTTGCGACATCCCGCTTTGTTACATTCCTGTGTACCAGTCGCCGAGTTCGCATTCGCATTCGCAAGCCGACGAAATTGTGTAACATGCCGGAATCCGGTCCCTGCAGTCGAGGTGATGATTCAGCAGGTAACCGTTCCGCGCGGCTGGATTTGAACCTCGAGTATTCCGCGCAGCCCTGTATTGCGGAGCTCGGCGCGCAGCAACGGGCGGAAGGCTGCGCGGGCGCGGGGAGTTCCGCAGAAACGGGGGAGCTTCTTGCGGGGAGGGGGGTTTTTTCCGCGGCGAGGGGAATTTTGGATACAGCCGCGGCGGCGGGGGAACCGTTGGCGGAAGATGACACCGCAGGGTCGGGGGAAACAGCGGTGGGCGGAGCGGGTGGCGGAGCGGAGGCGGAAGAGTCGGAGGGCGGAGGCGCGGAAGAGCCGGCGGCGCTAGACGACCTTGTCGGAAGGGCCTCGCGCTTTGCGCAGAGACTGGCGCAGCGGAGACTCCAGGCGGCGGGGGAACGCGCGGGGGGGGACGCTCAGGTAGGCGGAAGGGGAAGGGGGGGCGGAAACAGCAGTGGCGGCGCAGGCGCTGGCGGACGGGAAGGCGCAGAGTACACCCGAGCGGGGGGGACGGCGGGGGGAAGCGGGGAAGGCGGGGTGGGGGGAAGCGGGGGGGAAAGCGGAGGGGGATTTCAGGCCATTTTGGCTGCAATAGGGGCAGGGGGTGATGATGAGGCCGCAGGGGGGGGTGGCGACACGGATAACGAGTGTGATATTAGCGAGGATGAGGATAAAGAGGAGAGTGGTGATACTAGCGAGGATTCTAGCAGTAACGATAGTGACGATTCGGATGGGGAGGAGGAGGGGGAGGGGGAGGATAAAGGGGAGAGCAGCAGCGGAGAGAGCAGTGACGAGGAGGATGACAATAGCGAGGATGACAGTAGCGAGGATGATAGTAACGCGTACGGCAACCAGGCGGGCAGGGGGAGCGAGTTCTGGTTCACGTTCGGCGCGCGGACGGGAATGAGCGACGAGGGGGAGGCGGAGGCGGAGGCGGGGGAAGGGGACGCGCGGGGGAGGGGAAAGGGCAAGCGGAAGGGGTGGGTGAGTCGGAAGGAGGCGGCGCGCGCGTTTAGGGCGCATCCCGTGGCGCATGCGACGCGCGTGTGGTCTTCCGCGCATGGCAGGACCTCCGCGCTCTGCCGGAAGAGGCGGAGGGGGGGGAGCGGGGGGAGCGGGGGAAGCGGGGGGAGGGGACGGGAGGAAGCGCGGAAACAGGCGGAGATGGGGGCTTTGTGGGATTTTGGGGGGACGGGGGAAGGGGAGGGGGAGAAGGGCGAAGGGGAGGGGAGGGGGGAGAAGCGGAAGGGGAAGGGGGAGAAGAGGGGTGCAGAGCGGTGCGACACGGTGAACGTGCACCAGATGCTGTTGTCGCGAGAAGTGAACGTGTCGGTCTTAGGATCGTAAGCACCTTAGTCGGCAATAGTCTACTTGCTATTGCTTATCGTATTCTCCACGATCTCACGAATCCAACGATATGCGCAGCTCTGCTTGAAGTTGTCAATACACACTTCAGCAATTTTCAGAATCTCAATGGTTTCAATGTTGTGTTTTCCAGAATGAGTACAAGCAGTTTTATAGTCAACCAAGGTACAAAATGCGATTCGTAACTTCACTTGTTTCCCAAGTAACCGCGTGCGCCTCGTTTCACACCGAGTCGCACACGCAACCGAACCGAATGCACCGAACACTCCTCGAGTCCGATTCCAGCACCTTCTCGAACACGCCTCCAGCTCGAACCACAATTTCTCCCCGTCAATCTCATTCTCGATGCTTCTCCACTCTTCTCTCTCCATTTCTCTAGTTTCTTCCTGATTTCTCTCCCGCTTCTCACGCCGTAGCTTCCATTCTTCACCGTAGGCCGATTTCCACCGTTTTAGATCTAGAATCTCCCACGAGATCCATTCCGCCGTCATTCCGCATTTCGCCGTAGGTTCCGTGGTTCGTCGAACCAACCCTAACAATCTCCCCTGTGGTTCGTCAACCACGAACTCCACTCGCACTCCTCCTCTGCTCCTTGTAGCCTTCATAGGGTCTAAGTCGGCTTCACGCTCCCCTGCAGCTCCTGCACCTTGAGCCTCTGCTTACGTGTCTTGAAGTTGAGCGCCTTGACATCCAAACCTTGAGAGATTTTCTTGATCCTCTCGCTGCTCCTCGGCATCTCAACACTCAACACCTCTCGGGTCTCGTACCCTTCAACATGTTCCTCTTTCGTAAGCACTCGCCCCTTTGCAGTTGCTTTCACCTTTGATCCCTTCACCATGATGTCCCCTTTCACAGCTTCGACTCCCACACACTTCGCATTTACTGCTTCGACTTCAACCACAATCGCTGCTGCAAAAGTGTTGACACCATCTCTATCGCCACCATTCACTGCTGCTGCCTCCATAGCGACTATCTCCTCTTTCTGCTTCACTGCTGCCTCCACACTTGCTGCCGTATCATCCGTGTCCTCACTCTCATCAACCTTAGTCGATAACTTCTCCAATTCTCCCATTTCACCATACTCAGGATCCTCATAGATCTCATCCATATCATTCGTCGCTATCACGTTCATCTCATAAAATCCGTCACTGAAGTAACCCTCTGCGTACTTCTTCCACTCAGGGCCAAACACTGTAACCTTGCCACTGTCATAAAATATCTTGCACCCCAAGTCATCAAGCTGTGACTGACTCATCAAGTTCACCTTTAAATCCTCAACCAAGAGCACATTCTCCAGTTTCACCTCTCCATACGGACTTTGCAGCACCACGTCACCCTCTCCTGTCACTGGTAACTTCCCACTGTTACCTTGCAGTATATAACGCTCACTCGACTCCCTCACGTTCTCCATCCAATCTGACCTGAATGTCATGTGACGCGTGCATCCGCTGTCCATGAACCACGCCGTCTTCTCACGTCCGTCCGTCTGACGAACATCCTTCGGTAAACGCACCACGTTCGCACGATGCGCTCCTCCCAAAATCACATCCTCCTTTTCGGCTTCCGCTACATTCGCCTTACCCGCCACAATCCTCTGCTGCGACGGACCCTTGTAGCTCCTGCTGTTCGGATTGGAGTAGCACTCTGCGGCACGATGCCCATAGCGCCCACAATAATCGCACTTGCCGCCAAAACCTCGTTTCTGTTGCCACTCTGCTCCCCCATTTTCTCCTTTCTCGTTCTCCACCGCTTTGCCCTTGTAGTTTCTGCTTCGCGGATTTTCGTAGCAGTTTATCGCCTTATGCCCCCTTTTTCCACACTGGTAGCACGCTCCAAACGCCTTCATTGCATTCACCATAGCCGGCCTTTCCTCGTCGAATTCCTTAGCTGCTGCTGCCGCTTTCTTTTTCCTCATCTCCTTCATCGTCTCAAGCGACTGTAGAATCTCCTGCAGCTTCGTCAAACTCTCCGGCGGTTGGTACGTAAACATACCGATGTCGGATTCCCACTCCTTAGGAAGGCCTTGGATGATATAGTCAATCATCTCATGCTCCGTCTCCGCGGCTCCCATCACCCGCAAATCGTCGTTGTAGCTTTTTGCCCTGTTGATGTAGGTGATGATTTTCTCGCCTTTCTCCATGCTCAGCATCAGCAGCTGCTTCCTGATCGCCTTCTTGTTGACATCGTTGGTGCCCATGTACGTGGACTCCAGGTACTCCCATGCTTTCTGTGCAGAGTTCAGCTCCCCTGCAAACTGGTCCAAATCCACCGCGATTCCATCGGCAACTGAGTGACAAAGCTGAAAGAACGCTTGCTTACTTTGTTTTTTGAACGCCGCTATTTTCTCCTTCGTATCCGTCGTGGAAGGCGCAACCCCCTCCATCGTCTCCTCGTCGGGACGGTAGTACGGCAAGAGGTCAACCTCCTCTGCCCTCCGAATGAACTTCTTCCGCCACACGTTGTAGTTGCTTCCGTTGAAGCGCTGGGCTTCACTGAGCCCGATCGTCGGTTTCGCCACCAATCGGCCACTCGCAAGGGCCTCGAGAAGAGCCTTCAACTGCGGGTCTCCAAGACTCACACTGGAACCCGAACTCGCCTCGTCTCCCATAGCGTAGGCGTGAACGACTCCTCTTCTCCACTAATTTCACTTAGCGCACCAAGTGAATTCACGACGATCGACGCGCCTGTTCGCCAAGCTCTGATACCAGTTCTTAGGATCGTAAGCACCTTAGTCGGCAATAGTCTACTTGCTATTGATTATCGTGTTCTCCACGATCTCACGAATCCAACGATATGCGCAGCTCTGCTTGAAGTTGTCAATACACACTTCAGCAATTTTCAGAATCTCAATGGTTTCAATGTTGTGTTTTCCAGAATGAGTACAAGCAGTTTTATAGTCAACCAAGGTACAAAATGCGATTCGTAACTTCACTTGTTTCCCAAGTAACCGCGTGCGCCTCGTTTCACCCCGAGTCGCACAGGCAACCGAACCGAATGCACCGAACACTCCTCGAGTCCGATTCCAGCACCTTCTCGAACACGCCTCCAGCTCGAACCACAATTTCTCCCCGTCAATCTCATTCTCGATGCTTCTCCACTCTTCTCTCTCCATTTCTCTAGTTTCTTCCTGATTTCTCTCCCGCTTCTCACGCCGTAGCTTCCATTCTTCACCGTAGGCCGATTTCCACCGTTTTAGATCTAGAATCTCCCACGAGATCCATTCCGCCGTCATTCCGCATTTCGCCGTAGGTTCCGTGGTTCGTCGAACCAACCCTAACAGTCGGTGCGTTTGATCTGATTCGATTTGATTCAACTCTGGATTCAGCTTTCCGCCTGTTCGTGCTTTCCACGTGCCCCCCTTAGCTCGCCTCGCCTCAAAGCAAGCGCATCTGTGTGTTGTGAATGACGGCCCGCAACACAAGGAGCCCGATCAGCGGCTGTGCATCCGTCGCAGCCCTCCCCCCACATGCATAACGCTAGAGGCCAGGCCCCATGAAATGAAACGCCTCATGAGAGACTATGATACAGAGTTCTCGTACCCACCGCATCCCGGTGTGCCTCATTGCTGCCGTTTCCGCTGCCCACTGCGCCGTGCTTCACTTCACGCAGCCACCTTATCCACCACGACATTCAGGCGCTTCTTCAAACCGAGACGCAACGCCATCCACACAGACACCCTTTCAAACCCCAGCTTCTCACTCCCCATCTCACCCCTTCCTTTTCGTTCACCAATCGCAGAAATTCGGGCGCTTTAGTGAGTCCGATCGTTGTCACCTTGCGCAGTCGTTCCTGCCGTGTGACGGGCCCATGGTGGAGGATAAGGTGGCCGAGGCGAGCGAGGCCATGCATGAAAACCATTCCATCCCACCCATCCTCTGCAGAAATTCGGGCGCTTCAGCGAGTCGGACCGGTGCCACCTGGCACAGTCCTTTCTTCCGTGCGATGGCCCCATGGTGGTGGATAAGGTGGCGTCGAGAGCATACATCGGGCAATTTAGTGGCGATGGCGACCTGTTTGTGGCTGGTTTCCAGGTGAGTGGGTGGAGGAAGGGAGTAGATGCGTGTGTGCCTTGTACGTGTGCCATAATGGCCCCATGGTGGTGGACAAGGTGGCATAGAGAGCATACATCGGGCAGTTCAGTGGCGATGGCGACCTGTTCGTGGCTGGCTTCCAGGTGAGGAGGAGGCGAATGTGCGTAGGTGATTTTCGAGTCGGCTTAAAGTATGTGCGGGCTGTGGGGACAACCCGCCCTTGCTTTTCAGCAAGGGCTGTGGGGAGGGTAGTAGATGCATGTGAGCTGCTGGGGAGGGTAGTAGATGCGTGTGAGCTGGTGGGGAGGGTAGTAGATGCGTGTGAGCTGCTGGGGAGGGTAGTAGATGCGTGTGAGCTGCTGGGGAGGGTAGTAGATGCGCGTGAGCTGCTGCCTTTGAGACTCCTCAGAAACCCTTCCATTGCCACCACTGCTTCGATCGATTTCTTAGTCGACCAAACATTGCCTCATGTCCCCCTCCACTACCGCCAATCAATCATAAATTCTCTCCATTGCTTTCCCTTCTCTTCCGCGCACGATCAGGACCGTCGGATCCGCGTGTACGATGTGGATCGAGGGTGGGCATTGAGGAAGGATGTGATCGCTCGCAATCTCCGGTGGACCATCACCGACACTGCTCTCTCTCCCGACCAGCGATTCCTGGTAGCCCTTCCGTTCAGTAAAGTAACCAGTTACGACAGCAGTAGTGGTATGATTGCAATGACAATCTGAGATGCTGGTTCCTGGTACTGCAGTTTTTGCTCAAATAGCATGTGGTAACCCTTCCCTCCTGCCTTCCCTCCTCCACTTCCATTCGTGCATGCGCGGCTTGGCTTGAATCCCACTAGAAAGACTGTGCCTCCCCTGTTTCTCGCTTCTCTTCTCTTCTCTGATGCTCCCTCGTCTTGTCTTCTCGTTCCTCTCTGCTTGTCCCCTTTCCACAGGTATATGTATCTATCACACCCATCGTGCATCTGGTTAGTGTCGGCTATGGGAGCGGGGAGGTGGACTCTTTGCAGGTTGCATCCACCCTGCTTTTCCTCCCCTGCTCACTCCTATCCCTCTCCCTTGCCGCCTCCCCTCATCCCTCCCCACAGGTATATGCATCCATCACACCCATCGTGCATCTGGTGAACGTCGGCTATGGGAGCGGGGAGGTTGAGTCGCTTGCCAATGTCACTGTGAGTTTATCAACATGCGGTTACCGCATCACCACTCTTGGAATGTGCTCACCGATCATCAGCAACGTTCCATGTATTTTCCATGTATTTTACATGCTTCACTTGTCAGTTTTGAGTTTTGCACATATCCTGATGAATTCACATGCTCATGTGCAAAAGTCTGGCCACTTTATGTACTCTACGCCTCTATATCGTTCACTCATCCCCCATCCTTTTGAGACGTCTCAAAAGTATGGCCACTTTATGTACTCTACGCCTCGATATCGTTCACCCACCCCCTACCCTCAAACCCCCCATCCCACCCCCCAGGACATTCACGAGGAGTTGAACTTCACAGCAGTGGAGTCACGGCGCAGGGAGCGCAGTTTTGGCATCTGGTCGCTGCAATTCTCATCCGACGGCCGGGAGCTCATCGCAGGCAGCAGCGATCGCTCGCTCTACGTGTTTGATCTGGAGAGGAACCAACCGATTCTCCGAGTGAAAGCGCACCAGGTAGGCTAGGGGCGCATCTGGTGGGGTCATGCTTGCTGATCAGCTCATCACGGGCAGCAGCGATTGCTCGCTCTACGTTTTTTATTTGGAGAGGAATCAGCCGATTCTCTGCGTGAAGGCACACCAGGTAGGCTAGGGAGACACCTTTTAAGCTCCTGGTTTCAGGTAAATCCAAGTGCCTGCCTCACTGCTTGCGGGTAGCAGCAGCGGTTGGTCGCTCTACGTCTTTGACCTGTGCACTGATCCATCCTCCATCCTCCCTTCTCCCTCCTCCCCACTCCGCTTCTCCAGGACGATGTAAATGCTGTGGCTTTTGCAGACGAGACCTCCCAACTCATCTACTCCGGCAGTGACGACCGCATCTGCAAGGTGTGGGACCGCCGGTTGTTAGACAACACCGAGCCCATTGGCCCGTTGCGCCTCCTCGACCCCGTTGGACCTCCTCCCTTCAGTCACTCTGCTGGCGGAGCTGCTAGCGCTGCTGGTTCTGCTGCTGGTGGTGCTGTCCGTGCTGGCGCTGGTGCTGGTGCTGCTGGTGTTGCTAGTGGTGGTGGTGGCGGTGGTGGGGGGGAGAGGCAGGGGGTGGGGTGTCGGAACAAGCCAGTGGGAGTGCTGGTGGGGCACACAGAGGGTATAACGCATCTGGCTTCTAAAGGGGATGCGCGATGCTTCCTTACTAACGGCAAGGACCAGACGATGAAGCTGTGGGATATCCGAGTCATGATGGACCATGCTGCTTATGAGGAGTAAGTCTATAACGAGATTCTTTGTTTATAATGAGTTTATATCGTTATAACGAGTACATGTAAGCATGTGTGTGTGTGAGTGAGCGTTCAACCAATGGCACCAATGGCAAGGTTCAAACGATGAAGCTGTGGGACATCCGAGTCATGATGGACCATGCTGCTTATGAAGAGTGAGTTTATAACGAGTACATGTAAGCATGTGTGTGAGTGGTGAGTGAGATACTGCCTGGCGCTTGCTTATGACGACTGACTTCTGCTTATGACGACTGGCTTCTGCTTATGACGTGTACATTCTGATTTTGAGGCGCCTCAAAACTATGACAAGTGATTTCTGCTTATACAAGTACATTTTGATGCTTCAAGGGGCATTCAATAATGTTTTGTTATCCATATTTTATCACAGAAGGCCACGCTTCCTTCATCTTGCTTTGTAACCCCCCTCTTCGCTTCCCCCTTGTTATCGTCCCCCCATCTGCTGGTTATTCTGCCAGTTCTGCCACCCGGCTCTGTTGAGGATTCTCAAAACAGAAGCTCATCTTCCTCTCTCTCATCCGCTTCTCCTTCTCCCCCCTCTCTCTCCCCTCTCTTGTCTCACTTTCTCACACTCTCTGCCTCTGCGCCTCTCCCTTTCTCTCTCTCTGTGTTCTCTGCTCCCCCTGCCTTGGTCCGCAGCTTGCCACCCCCTCGGATCCCGTTCTTCCAGTGGGACTATCGATGGATGGACTATCCCGGGAGGGGCATGCGAGTTGGCTCAGTCTATCTGTCTCTCTGCCCCTGTGTCCGCCCCTGTCTCTGTCTGTCACGATTTCCCCCTTCCCAGTCTCCCTCCTCCGCGAATTTCCTTCTTCCAGTGGGATTATCGATGGATGGACTATCCCGGGAGGGGCATGAGAGTGGCCCATCCCAGCGACCAGTTGCTCATGACCTACCGCAACCACCACGTGCTGCAGACCCTCATCCGCTGCTCCCCTTTCCGCTCTCTCTTTCTTTCTTTCTTTCTTTCTTTCTTTCTTTCTTTCTTTCTTTCTTTCTTTCTTTCTTTCTTTCTTTCTTTCTTTCTTTCTTTCTTCCTTTCTTTGTCTCTCTGCCTCTGTCTCTGTCTCTGCCTCTGCCTCTGTCTCTGTCCCTGTTTCCGCCTCTCCTCCTTCCTTCTGCAGCCTCCCCCCTCCGCGAATCCCCTTCTTCCAGTGGGACTATCGCTGGATGGACTACCCCGGCAGGGGCATGAGGGTGGCCCACCCCAACGACCAGTCACTCATGACCTACCGCAACCACCACGTGCTGCAGACGCTCATCCGCTGCTACTTCTCCCCTCTGCACTCCACGGCTCAACGATTCGTGTATTCCGGGTCACACGATGGTGCTGTCTACATCTTTGACTTGGTGAGTGGCAGAGAGTGGGAAGAGAGCGTGATGCACTGCATTACCCTGGCATGGAGCTCTACACTGCAACCAACCACCACTTGCTGCAGACGCTCATCCGCTGCTACTTCTCCCCTCTGCACTCCACGGCGCAGCGATTTGTGTATTCCGGCTCGCATGACGGCGCAGCGTATATCTTTGACCTGGTGAGTGCACAGCGCGTAAATGAGTTTACTTTTGAGTCGACTCAAAAGTCAACTCTGGGTCGCATGAAGGCGCTGTGTATATCTTTGACCTGGTAAGTGCGCGTAAAGGGAAATGGTGTGTGAGCTGGCATGCGGTGCTGCAGACGCTCATCCGCTGCTGCTTCTCCCGTCTGCACTCCACGGCCCAACGCTTCATGTACTCTGGGTCACACGATGGTGCAGTCTACATATTTGACCTGGTACATACGCACTTGGCAGTGGGAAGAGGGAGTGGGTGGGACGAGGGAGCGGGAAGAGAGCGGGAAGAGAGAGTGGGAAGAGAGAGCGGGAAGAGAGAGTGGGAAGAGAGAGTGGGAGAGAGAGCGGAAGGGAGTGGGAAGAGAGAGCGGAAGGGAGTGGGAAGAGAGAGCGGAAGGGAGTGGGAAGAGAGAGCGGAAGGGAGTGGGAAGAGAGAGCGGACGGGAGTGGGAAGAGAGAGCGGAAGGGAGTGGGAAGAGAGAGCGGAAGGGAGTGGGAAGAGAGAGCGGAAGGGAGTGGGAAGAGAGAGCGGAAGAGAGTGGGAAGAGAGAGCGGAAGAGAGTGAGAAAAGAGAGCGGAAGGGAGTGGGAAGAGAGAGCGGAAGGGAGTGGGAAGAGAGAGCGGAAGGGAGTGGCAAGAGAGAGCGGAAGGGAGTGGGAAGAGAGAGCGGAAGGGAGTGGGAAGAGAGAGCGGAAGAGAGTGGGAAGAGAGAGCGGAAGGGAGTGGGAAGAGAGAGCGGAAGGGAGTGGGAAGAGAGAGCGGAAGGGAGTGGGAAGAGAGAGCGGAAGGGAGTGGGAAGAGAGAGCGGAAGAGAGTGGGAAGAGAGAGCGGAAGAGAGTGGGAAGAGAGAGCGGACGGGAGTGGGAAGAGAGAGCGGAAGGGAGTGGGAAGAGAGAGCGGAAGGGAGTGGGAAGAGAGAGCGGAAGAGAGTGGGAAGAGAGAGCGGAAGAGAGTAAGCAGCACACGATACTGCCATGGGGCTGTGCACTGCTGGCCACCACAACCAACCTACCACCACAACCAACCTACCACCACAACCAACCTACCACCACAACCAACCTACCACCACATGTTACAGACCCATCCGCTGCTACTTCCCCCCTCTGGAGCCCCCTCTGGTGCTACCCTCAGTAGTCATGGTTTTCTCAATACACGCTCCCCTCCCTCCCCTCCCTCGCCCCTTCATGCCCCCAGCTTACAGGCAAGCAAGTGGCAAAGCTGAAGCACCACGGGTCCACAGTGCGGGACTGCTCCTTGCACCCCACCCGGCCAGCTCTTGATGCGACTCTGATGTGCTTGCATCTCTACCTCTTTGCACCCTTCTTCCCCTCCCTCCCCTTTTATGCCCCCAGTTGACAGGCAAGCAGGTAGCAAAGCTGAAGCACCACGGATCAACTGTCAGGGATTGCTCCTGGCACCCCACACGACCAGCCCTGGCGTCGGTGGGGTGGGACGGGAAGGTGGCTCTGTGGGAGAGCTTTCACGGGGAGACTCCGCCTGAGTGCAAGAAGATGCGGCAGATTCCCGTCACCAACCACGAGGATATATTTGATGAGTAGAGGGGGGGGCAGAAGGGAGAGGAGGAAGACGAAGGGGGTAAGGGAGGTGGCACTGGGATCCAGCACTGCAAGGGAAGGGGGCACTGGCACCTCGGTGGGGTGGGATGGCAAGGTGGCCCTCTGGGAGAGCTTTCACGGGGAGACGCCTCCTGAGTGCAAGAAGATGCGGCAGATCCCCGTGACCAACCATGAGGACATTTTTTATGAGTAGAGGGAGGGTGGGAGGTATGGGAGGGGGAGAGTGAGGCAGGGGGTTGTGGAGGGGTAGTACAGAGATATACCCCTTCATTTGGTGTTTAGATAGCAAGGCACACTCCAGGCATTGCCCATAGGGATAGCTATGGCAACAGAGGTTGTGGAAGGGGAGAGGGAGAAGAGAGGAGAGGAGGAGAGGTGGTGGGCGGGCATTGATGCTGTTAGCTTTCCTTGGCGTGCTGGATACCGAACCGAAACATAAAAACGTGACCAAGTAGACACATGACTGCTGCCAACGCACTTACTGCAGGGAAGGCCGCTTCGGTACCGTATTACCCCGGATAGTAGCGCATATGCGCTTATAATAAAATCAGTTTTTTTTAGGGGGACGCTTGTAATTGAATATCGGCCATAAGCGCCGGCGCTTATATAACGACAAATACATAAATACAACTTAAACGCACCAAATTGTACATTTCAGTCTCGTAAGTTGAATCGAATCGAAATTTTACATGGTCCAGAATCAGAATCGCGCAAGGGCGATTTTCTGACGGTGCACAGAGCTTTGGCACATCATTTTGCCCGCGTGCCAACTCATACTGACTGGACGCGCAACCAGTTGGTCCTCGAAAGTTAAACAAAATGAAAATGGGGGTGTTGACTCGCTAGAAATTTGAAATTCGTTACCGTTTTAATCAGCATTGAAAAATAAATTTTGCATGCGCTTATAACATGTCAGTGTTTTACAGAGGGGAGGGCGCTAATAATCGAATTCCGGCCATAAGCGCCATGCTCCAAATAGAAGCGCCGGCGCCTTTAATCGGATGGCGCCTATATCCGGGGCCATACGGTACTTGCGTGATTGACGGAAATCACGCTCCGACAGATTTCGGGAGTGGAGGGGGGGGGGGGGGGGGGGGGGGGGGGGGGGGGGGGTGCCCTGTACGCCCTTCAGGGTAATCTTCGCTAAGGGAAAATTTACCCCAGAGCATCAGTGTGGCCTAAATCGTTTCACTGTCAAATCAGTGTAACACTAATCCAAAAAAAAATTACCCAAACACATCAGTGCAAACCCAAAAAAACACCACTCTCATCAGTATAGCAGTGTGATTTACATTGATAAAATAGGCCCTGGACTTGGCCAAACGACAGATATCCGCCTTCGAACCGCAAAATGAGGGATATTCGACTTTCGAATATCCGCAAAACGACGGATATCCGACTTTCGGATATCCGCAAAACAACGGATATCCGACTTTCTGATATCCGCAAAACGTCAGATATCCGGCTTTCGGATATCCGCAAAACGACGGATACCCGGATGGACATCCGAGTTTCGGCTATGTCAGAATCACTGTGCAAGAATGATTGGACTAGCAAGAGTTGGGGTACAAGTACTACCGGTAACCCTAGAAGTGATGTACCCCATAAGGAGTGCCCCATTATAGCATACAAATAAGATTGTACTTTGACAACAAGACGATCACAAGACCAGTCAAGCAAGACAACAGAGCAAAGCAAAGCAAAGCTCACGGTGGATCTCAAGGACACCACACAATCCGAGCACAAGCAAGCGGCCACAAGGCCAGTTCACATACAGAGTTATAATGACAAGGCAGTACACTAATCACAACCTAGCAAGAGGAAACATGCAGGTATAAATATAGATATCAGTGTACAACAAGTGCAAGATCAAGAGACAAGCAGGTGAGGTAGAACGGGCAGAAGCCAAATAGCAGTGCAAAAACGATGAAGATCACCAGACCCGAGGGCCTTGGTAAAGACATCAGCAGTGTTGGCCCGAGAGGCCACGTAAGAAAGGCGAAGCTGACCACGCTGCTGCAGCTCTCGAGCAAGAAAGTAGCGAAGAGCAATATGCTTCGTTCTATGCTCCAATCTCTGCTCTTGACACAAGGCAAGCATGGCCTTGCTCTCGACGTATAGAACTGGAGGAGAACGAGGCCGCTCCCCCAAGTCGGTTAGCAGGTAGGTCAGCCAGCAGAGCTCCTGTGCAGCCATGGCCCAAGCGTAGATCTCGGCCTCACAGATGGAACCAAGCTCAAAAGAAGAACGAGTGGACCTCCACAAGACAAAACCAGAGCCAAGACTTAAGGTGTAACCCTTAGACGAACGCTGAGTCGCCTGGTCGTCGGCCCAAGAAGCATCGGAGTGTCCTGTGAGTACCACTGAACCCTGTCCTCCAAGTACGAGCCCTATGCCCGATGTACTACACAAGTAACGCAGTACCCTCTTCGCAACATCCCAGTGCACCTTTCGGTGTCTACCGGGAGCCACGTAGAGAGCCAGTAGGCTGAGAGGGTACGCGAGGTCAGGTCGTGTGCACGTCATCAGGTACATGAGGCAACCCACAAGCTCTGGATACGGACCACTCGGCTCTACGGACTCGTCCGAAGGTGGAGCTGAGAGCGAGTGGCTAGTAGGCAGAGGAGTGGGCTGTGGCTAGGAGAACTGGAAACCGAATCGCCGATGGACCTGGTGCACCATGTGTGATTGAGTCAGGGTGATGGTGCAGTGTGCTCTGTCCCGGGTGATCTGCAAGCCAAGATAGCTACGCAGCTCACCCAGGTCAGTGCAGGTGTGTCTCTCCTGCAGCTCCGCCTTCACTAGGGCCAGCGCCTCAGTGTCAGCAGCAGCAAAAACCAAGTCGTCGACGTACACGAGAACGTAGAACGGCGACAGGGTAGTGTCGGTGCGTAGAAACAGCGACGGGTCAGCAGAGGAAGGAGCAAACCTAAGAGCCGCAAGTGTAGTCATCAGTGTGTCGTGCCACTCGCGGGGCGCCTGGTGGAGACCTGAGAGAGACTTGGAGGAAACCGCCGAACACGGGAGGACAGTGGAGGCTTGCGTGACTACTGGGCCCCTAGTGGGGTCAGCCAGTGAGACTAGGACAGGTGCTGCGAGTGGTGTGACTGTGGTGCAATCACGAAAGAAGCAACGTGACGCGCCTGAGTCAAGTTTGAAAGTGTGCAAGGCCTCAGCTGAGGCAGGACCTGTGGCTGTAGAGGCACTTGTATCTAGAGCGGCGGCAGACTCACGAGCACCTAGAGCTGCAGCAGACTCACTAGCACCTAGAGCAGCAGCCTCTACACAACCAGGGACGCATTGCTGAGAAGCACAGTCATGAAGCCGCTGCAGGGAGAAGGTGCCTGCGGACGCTGCTGCCGCCGCTGTGCAGTACCCATAAAACCAAAACCTCCACCACCAGGACTGCCTCGCTGAATAACCCACTCACGAAGTTGCTTAGGGGTGGGGTTGTCCAGGAGAGGCAGTGAATGCTGTTGTCCACCCCTAGCCGCTGCGACTACCGTGATAGTGGCCGTGACAGGCAGTGACAGTCAGTTGTCAGAATCCTAGCTAAGACTTAGTAGCCATGGCTAGGATTTAGGGTACACGAAAGAGAAATGGAAGAAGAGAGGTTTCACTAGCAGGCAGTTGAGTACATATAGCAAACCCTAACAGGGTTGTACTCACTATGGAGTACCCCACTGCAGACTAGAGAAATATAACATTCTGACACACCCCCATAGTCAAAGTGGGGCACCTCCAGCACCAGCACCTCCAGCACCAACAGCTCCAGCACCTCCAGCACCAGCAGCTCTAGTACCTCCAGCACCTCCAGCACCAGCAGCGCCAGTATCTCTAGCACCAGCAGCTCCAGCACCTCCAGCACCAACAGCTCTAGTACCTCTAGCACCTCCAGCGCCAGTACCTCCAGCACCTCCAGCACCAGCAGCTCTAGCACCTCCAGCACCAGCAGCCCTATAGCCTCCACCACCAGGACTGCCTCGCCAAACAACCCAATCGCAAAGCTGCTGCGGCGAGAGGGTCTCCTGTCAACGAGACTGCTGCTGCTGACCAACGTCAGAACCCCCAGCAGGAGCACCCACGACTCCACCACCACTAGCACTCGCAGGACCCCCAGTGTCAGCACCCCCAAAACCGGCACCTCAGAGTTAGCACCCCCAGAACCAGCACCCCCAGAGTCCGCACTCTCAGGGTCCCCACCCCGAGCAGCACCAGAGTCCACAGCGACAGACTGCGGAGACGGCGAAGATGGCCGAGGCGGAAAACCAGGAGGGGTCTCCAAGCGCAGAGAGCGGCGAGTGGCCGCTGTGTCGTCAGCATCGAGGTAACCCCCCTCAGATGGGCCAGAGGTGTCAGAGGAGACCTCCAAAGGCTCAACCAAGGGGGGTGGGTCGACCTGAGACACACATGAGGGAGCAGGACCCTGTGGGGGGAGGGGGTCTACCGGGGGGGGACCTGGGACCAAGAAGAGGGGCGGCGGGGAGAGTGGGGAGGACACGTGCGGGTGGAGACAGTAGCAGCAGACCGATTCGTCAAAGGTGACGTCCTGTGAGGACAGAACGCTGCGCGAGGCAGGGTGGTAAAACTGCCAGGGCGGGGCGTCGGTAGGGAAGCCAAGGAAGTCGCAGCGGAGAGTGCGAGCAGAGAGCTTGCTCGCGGTGGTATTGTATACAAGGGAGAGCGCACCCCAGACCCGAAACGCCGACGCATCGCCAACCTCCCCCGTCCAGCGCAGTGTAGGCGAGGTTTCCGGAAAACGACGGATATCCGAATGTCGGATATCCGGATAAAAATGGATATCTGAATGTCGGATATCCGTATAAAGACGGATATCCGGATAAAGACGGATATCCGAAAGTCGGATATCCGGATAAAGACGGATATCTGGATAAAGACGGATATCCGGAAAACGACAGATATCCGAATGTCGGATATCCGGATAACAACGGATATCCGAATGTCAAATATCCGGAAAAAGA